CTACTCTGTAATACCAGTCAGTATTAATGCGAACAAAAAAAAAAAAAAAAAAAAAAAAAAAAAAAAAAAAAACGCACGAATTTTGCGTCTCTACAACTTCGTCCTGGGACTTGTTTGGCCCCCATACCAAACACTTCCTTCCTCCTCGCTCGCACTCCAAAAACAGCAGTCTTACAAGAAGGATGTAATAGAGCACTCAAGGACATATTAGCCTCGTAGTGGAGTATATAGCTGAGCAATTCATCTCTCGTAACTAATTGATATCTATACCCTCCTCATGAGAAACGATACAAACTTGATAAAGAACGACAGCATGGACTCAGGGCATGTACCCACTCCAGTACCACCACCGCCTCTGGCGATTCAAATACCCAATCAATCAGAAAACGGGCCAACGAACATCAGCTTTCCCATTAACGTCTCTGTGCTCCCCGTGGAAAAAGAAGAGACACCCTCACGTCAGAGCATTGACACCCGTCTCTTCCTCTGGCCCAGTACCTACCGATACATCTTTTCCCTTGTCTTCCTCGGAAATGTGGCTGCTTTGATCTACTTCATTCTCAGAGATTGGTCTGCGATTCGGTTCGTGGATGCTGCGGCAGCGAACTTCTTAGTAAGCGCCTTGGCTCGTCAGGCGATCGTGGTAAATGGGATGTTTCAGATAGTGTGCTCCTTATCACTCCGCCTACCCCTACGTCTTCGTCGTGTGGCAGCCAACATTTACCATTACGGCGGCGTGCATAGCGGTTGCGGCGTGGCTGCGCTGATCTGGTATGTCGGGGCAGTTGTCATGCTGACCCGGCTGGCCATCAGGGTCTGGAGGAACTCCCATCATCATCTCTCCAATCACACTCTGATTACGTTGATCCTTGCCTATCTCGTCCTCGTTCTGCTAGCTGTTATCATCGCAGTGGCCTATCCCACGGTCCGACTCCGCTATCATAATTCCTTCGAGTTCGCCCATCGCTTCCTCACCTGGCTAGTCGTTGCGCTGTTCCTGAGTCTTCTGGTGCTCGTGGTGGGAGACTCCTCTCTCACACCTAGTACTGCTACTATTTCAGTATCCCCCGCGGCCAGCCTCGTCCGTCTCCCCGCCTTCTGGTGCGTCCTGACCACCGTCATCGCCATCATTCAGCCCTGGACACGCCTGCGACGCATCCGCGTACAGGCAGAGCGGCTCTCCACTCATGCCATCCGTCTCCACCTGTCTGGAGCTGACTCACGGTTCGGGAAAACCATCTCACTCGCTACGCACCCACTGCAGGACTGGCATAGCTTCGCCACGTTCCCGGATGAGCCACGCTGCATAGATATTGACGACGAGGAGGCGGCGGCAACCGCAAAGACAAGCGCAGCCAAGGACTACTACTACTGTTCGGTCCTGGTATCCAGGGCGGGAGACTGGACGGGAGCGCGAATCAACGAGCCCCCGACAGAATTATGGACCCGGGGTGAACAGCCGTACGGATTCACCCGAGTGATGCGACTCTTCAGGCGCGTGGTGATCGTGGCAACAGGCTCCGGGATCGGCCCCTGCCTCGCATTTCTAGCGGAAGGAGGAGAAGCGTGTCGTCGCCCTGCCATTCGTCTGGTGTGGCAGACTAGGTCGCCGCAGCGAACGTACGGATCGCGGGTGTTGGACTTAGTGCATCGGTTGGACCCGGAGGCCATGATACTCGACACTTCCAAGCAAGGTCGGCGTGTGGACCTGCTCCCGTGGGTCGTCGACCATTGCTTGGCCTATTGCGGCTTCGAGGCTGAAATGGTCTGTGTCATTAGCAATCGGAGCTTGACCCATACCCTAGTTTCTCAGCTTCGGAGCCGAGGGATTCCTGCAATGGGGCCGCTATTTGATTCATGAGGACTACGTATATACTAGATAGATAAATAGATATTCAGAGCAAAATCAAAAAATGAACATGATGGTCTGATGCGTCCTGTGCAATATTAGTATTCCCCACTTAATCAATCCTTCCCGTCACTTTAGCCCTCCCTAGTGTGCTTACTCTCCTAGTGCTTACTTTCTAGTTCCCCTCTACTACTACCAAACCAACCAGTAATCTACCTCAACTCCCCAAACACCCCTTCAATCCTTCTAATCCCCTCAGTCAACGTCTCCGGCGCCACCCCAAACGTGACTCTCATCCACCCATGCTGATAATTCCCCGGCATATGGTACGCTGACCCCGGCACGACCGCAACCCCAGCCTGACGATATTTCCCACATGCAGCTAGCTCATCCTCCCGCGTCTGAGCTCGCGGAGCCAATCGAGCCATCAGGAACACTGCCGCGGTCCCTGGAATGTATGTAATACCAATACGACGAAACGCTTCTGTCACGGTACAATATGCCACGGCGAGCCCCATGCAATTCTGCTTTAGTATGTCCGGGAGACGGGAAGATGTCAGAATGGCTATTGCTCCGATTGTGGAGAGCGCAGATACTTGGACAGCCCCGGCTAGTCCAACTGTGCGTCGTAGGGGATTGTTTCGGGTTGCTATGCATCCCTGATGGACCGGTTTCGTTAACACACACAGATTTTCTTTGAAAAAAAAAAAAAAAAAAAAAAAAAAAAAAAAAAAAAAAAAAAAAGGAATTATAAACCAAAGCAATTTGTCGGAAGAGGAATCTTACCAGACGAATCCCACTAGCCGCTAGATCCTTGCTCATACTCCAGAGAACATGCACGCGTGAAGGGTCCAGACCGACGGTTGAGGGGTCGATACTTAGGACGGATTTGAATGCAGACCAGTTCTGAAGACCGGGACTGGTGAATGTGCTGAGGGCGAATACCTCGTCGGAGATGAGGTGGAGGTTGTGGTCTCGACAGAATGCCATACATTGCTTTAGGACGTGAGGAGGGTATGGTCGGCCAAGGGGATTGTGTGGATGGGAGAGAACGACAGCTTTGATGGGACATTTAGCTTCCTTGTAGTGCTTTTCGAGTGCAGTGACTAGTGTGCTGTCGTGGAATGACTCCTCTAGTTCGGTAACTTCGACACCGATGATTTGGACTTGGGACCGAACGGCGAAGAAGGTGTCGTAGCCACCTGGTTTGTTTTGTTGGTTAGTTTCAAAGGAAAAAGAGAGGAGACAGGGGGGGGGTGGGAACATACTCCAGTACGGACATGGTACTAGGACACCATCCTCCGGATCACACAACTGGTACAGCAGGATATCAAGTCCAGCAGAAGTGCCGGGTGTGACTGCCAGATGGTCGGTCTCAATTGGGGTGTATGGTTCGAAGTAGCGGTTGAATGTCGTCGCAAGCGCATCCAGTAATGGTGGGTAACCGCAGAGGCCTTTGGGCCAGTCGAGATGCTAGTAGAAACAAACCATCGGTTAGCAATTAGCTGCAGCATTTAGAGCTACCATCTAGGTATAGACCTCACCTGCGAGCTTAACCCTTCGCCAATGCATGTTTTCAAGATAGAGAGGATCTCGCTTCTAATTACATGGTTTTCCGCTAAGGTCAAGTCGATTCCGTGCCATGTGAAGTTGGGATTTAGGAGGTAGGGCGGAAACCGTGTAAGAACATCCGTCAGGTTCTTATGTCCTCGATGGGAAAATGATGATTCCATTATGCAGTAGAAGCAGATAAAAATTGTTCGAGACCTGGTAGAGTGCAAGAGGTAGGGTTGAAGATTGTCTTCACCCGGATTGGAGGTGGGGGATATGACCCTGGTATATCTTCGAACAACAGTAAACCGTAGTGTCGTATCGACGGGACATGCACTATTCGATTGACGAGTGTGAGTTCATGGAATGCATTAGACTTTCTCGTTCAAGGCTTTGCGATACGGGAACTTGCCAATCTACTTTTTCAGCCCCCAAACTAGCATGTATGACTAGTTTGTGACGAGTTGCTAGCGCGGCTTACGCCTCTTAGTATCCCCAAGTCTCGACCATAGCAACAAAGTAAGTGTTACTTCGCTTCAAGTTAGTATCATTGACGTCGGCTAAATGTCTCAGGTGTTAATCTAGTATTTTGTTCATTCAGACCGTTTATCTCTCTCATGTAAGCGCAATGCCTTCGTTCGCCCCCACTCAGAAAATAACATGTCTCAAACCCCCCAATCCTCGACCCATAAGCTTACATTTGCTTCTCAATTAACCATATCCTTCAATTTGAGACTCTCCAAGGTTAACAGACTGCCCTCCATCTCCATCGCAATCAAAAACGAAAAGAAAACACTTTGACTGTAGAGATGGAAAGCCAGAAGGCCCTCCGACTCACGGCATTTCGCTACAAGAAAGAAGGCACCACAGAAGCCCAGCTACAGACTTACATGACGCAAGTCTTTGGACCGCGCGCCGCACCCATTCAAGTTCGTCATGGTGTTCTCAAAGTGATACAAGTCAGTCCCCGACCCCTTTTGCAGCATATCAAGTCCACTTTGGATCTATTAGCTGATCTGGGTAAACAACAGTATCACACTCCCAGCAGTAGTAAGAAGCTCATCACCGAGAAGATCCCTTGGGCGCTTGGAAGAGGCTGGACGCTAGATGATCATGATGTGATCATCTCGGTGTACGTCCCTAACGCAGAGACCATGGCGGCTATCGTCAACGACCCCGAATTCCAGGAGCTGTTGAGCGGTGACTCTGAGATTTTGCAACCGACGGCTAAAGTGACCGCTGGGTGGGATGAAGTCTTTGTGGATAATGGGCAGGTTGTGACTATGGATAGAAGTAATAGATTGGGAGAGAGCAGGGAGACTGTTTGAAGAGAATGGGAGGTTAGGTGAAACATTCAAATTGATGTTGATTATGGTCGGATATAGATGGGAAACCGGCAGCTGGGTTACAGGGTCCAGTTGATTTTCCTTCGGCTGCAAGCATCCCGAGATACCATATTCCCCTCCTCCAGCTGTCCAGGGGATCGCCGAAGAGACAACTATGCTATAGCAAACTATCAAAATTACATGTACTCAACTTACATAATCCCGCTATTATCAACCAAGACTTGTCCACTATTTGTTCTCTGACCTGCTCCGACCTTTTTCTTAGAAAGATGAACTTCCCACAGCCCAACAACACACCTAAAAAGCGCTCCCTTGAAAGGGCATGGACCCCTCCAAGATCAATATTATCAAGCAAATTACGTCCTCTGATTCTTCTGCAATATTCGAGGTAGATCTAGATGGACAAAAGTATACAATGAAGCTTTTCCACGACAACGGCGACGACCCAGGATATACCGAAAAAGGACGTGATTTGAACCGGTTTCGCTGCGAGTTAAATGCATACAAGAAGCTTCTCACATCCGGTGTTTGTGCACGCGGTTTCGTGCCAAACTTCTACGGCTACATCAATCGAATGGATCCTGCAGCATTCCAGCAGCCTGCTTTACAATCTTTCACCCAAGACAAGCTAATGCCGAGAGCAATATTTCTAGAATATTTCCCAGATGCAGAGAATTTGAACTGCGTGAACTACTCGGATGCGCTCTATCCCCAGGCCATTGAGGGGATGCATGAGATACACAGGGCGGGTGTTCACCATCAAGACATCTACCCCAAAAACCTTCTCCTTGTTCGTGGAGAAAAAAAGAACCCCGATAGGCTGGTCTGGATTGACTTTGATGTTGCAACGACCTTCACCGACTTTGGACCTGAACAGCTGGCCCGCTGTGATCACGAAATTGCGCTTGTGAAGGGATTTATGGAAGCTTTGGTATGGCTTCTCCATTTGCTGTCTACAATCGGAATGATTCGTTTAGTATGCTAACTACAAATGAATCCAGAGAGATGACCAGGCTGAGGGACTCCCGCCGAATACAAAATTCTATTAAGGGTTCCATAGGCTCTTTCCATATACTTTGACGATGTTTGGTGGCATTGACGCGTGCTTGTTTTTGTATGAACAGATATCAGTCGGGGCGGAGTTCCAAACAAGAGGCCGTTTTGTTCTATTTTTTTTTTTTTAACTCTTTATATAACCATGATCTGTCATTCGTTTTATTTCATTTTTTATGCCCCTTCGGGTTTGATGGTCTATAGTCTACTATGAGGCTCGGGAATATCTATACTCTTTATTTCCCCTCAAAGGAGTTCTTGTTATATAGTTATGTATGCTGCTCAGGATTGTGCATTGGGGATATATATTTAGGGGGAGGTAAGTGGGTAGTAGGTAGCTGGTGAGTATGAAATCATCAAGGAGTGTGTCATAAATGTGTTATAATTTGGGCCCGTGAAGGGTCATGGTAAGAAAGAAGAAGAGAAGGAGGAGGAGGATGTTATGGAAGACATTATAAAAAATATTATACTTAAAATCCTATAAATAGTATATACACACCTCGGTTCATGGTAGAGGACGAGAGAGTCAATGCTTCAGACTGTAGGTTTGTGGGATTTGGGGTTACTTTATTTACGAGGGAGGGGTACTAGGCTTTAAACAATGGGGTATTGAGAGTGGCTAGTCAAAGACTGGATTATCCTTAAGAAGACCTGGTTATTGGTCTGTTATGTTGGTGGCTGGCTTGATGTCTGATGTAGGAAGAAAGAAATGCATGGCCTATCGTTTGGGATTCTTGTCTGAGTTGTGCTAGAGCGAGAGGCTGCGGTGTTAGGCAGATTCATCTATCACTAGTATCAGGTACAGTTTAGCAGGAATATACTGTCTACAGATATTACAAGGTATCATCGTAAGCCGTTAGAATTAGCCTATACAACAAAGAAAAGCAGAGACGCAAACCCGGTCACTAGACACATAGATAAGAGTATATGAAGAAATGAAACAGACACCAAAGGTTATATCTACTATATGAAACTTTCAACTGTACGGAGAAGGGAAAGATAAGCCAAGTCCTGTCGTGATGAATGTACCAGGGACGACAGATACAGGTTTATGAACAACTCCAAGCAGATCGGAAGCAAGAGAAAAAATTGTTCAGGAAACTATAGACAAATCAAGCGGGACTCGCTTAGAACTGGTCAATGCAACCCCAGTACTGCTCAACGTCGTACTCGCCGGGGTCCTTCCACAGGTCGTTGGCGTAGGAGAAGAAGACGGACAGCTCTCCAACGGACTCGCGGATGCCCTTGATGGCGGTGGCCTGCTCGGTGGTACCGGGGACGGCAGCACCGTTGGCGTTACCCTTGCTCGGCCAGCCGGTCTCGAGGTTGATGACATCCATGTTGGTACAGATCTTCTTCAGGAGGGCGACCTCGGAGGAGGCGAAGGTACCGGCCTCAGCGGCGGTGGTCTCGGAGTTGAAGAAGGGGTGGATGTTGGCACCGAGGACGTCAACGACAGAGCACAGGGTGCTGCTGCCGTACTCCTGCCAGATGTCGACAGGCTCAGTGGTGGTGATCTGGCCAGTGTAGCCGGCAGCCTCGAAGCTGGACTTGCAGGAGGAGATGAAGGTGGCGAGCTCGCTGGCGGTGGTGTAACCGTCGGAGATGGCCTCGTTACCGACAACGATGAGGGAAACCATAGACCACTGACTCCACTCGGTGATGGCAGTGACCTGGTCCTGAGCACCCGAGGTGCCGGTGCTGGAGATGTAGACACCGAGGATCAGCTTGAGGCCGTACTTGCTGGCAGCGGAACCAACGTATTCGAGGGTGCTGCAGTCGGTGGAGTAGAGACGGATGTGGGTGAAGCCCTTGTTGGCGATGGTCTCAATGTCCGACTCGACGGTGGCCTTGGACTTGCAACCACCGGAGTTGCTGTAGGGAGTGTAGGTCATTCCCATGCTGTTGCCGCTGGCGCTGACGCCAGAGCTGGCGGCGGCGCTGGAGCTGGCCACAGTGCTGGACTGAACGGAGGAAGTGACAGCGGCAGCGGTGGTGGTGGCAGGAGCCGGGGTGGTCACCACAACAGCGCTAGTGGTAGCGGCAGCAGGGGTGCTGGTGGGCTCGTTGGCGTTGGCGAAGGGGCAAGTGTAGGTGTAGTCAGTAACGGTGGCGGTCACAGTGATAGCGCTGTGGGTGTAGGTGCCGGGGGTGACCGTGGAGACGGTGGGGTAGGTCACGACGGTGTTGGAGGGAACGTAGGTGGTGGTGGGGGCAATGGTGTAGGTACCAGCCTCGGGGCAGACGTAGGTGGTGGTCTGGATGATGCTGGTGACGGTGGAGCCAGAGGGGGAGACGGTGGCGTAGGGGCAGGTGACGGTGGTCGATGTCTCGACGATGGTGGTGACACCACCGTAGGTCTGGGTACCGCTAGCCAGGGAGGTGGTGGTGCCAGCGACAACGGAGGTGGTATCGGAGACGGTCACGGTAGCCGCGGGGATAGTGTAGACACCAGTGGAGGAGAAGGTGGTGGTCTCCGGAGTGGGGACAACAGCCTGGCTGGAGGTGGTAGCAGCAGCGACAGGGGTGGAGGAAGAGACCTGGCCGACATTGCCGCCAGCAGCACCGGTGGCAGCGACACCCTCGGGGGTGGAGGAAGTGCCAGAAGCAGCACCGGCAGCACCACCGGTGGCACCACCAGCAGCGGGGGTAGACTCGCTGGGAGAGGCGTTGCCAGCAGCACCGCCAGTAGCACCAGCACCCTCGGCAGTGGTAGCAGCCTCAGCAGGGGCAGTCGACTCGCCGGGGGTAGCGACAACGGTGACGGTGGTGTAGCTGGTGGAGTGGAGGGTGGTGACGACGTCGGAAGTCACAGTGGTAGGGACAGCAGCGGGCACGACTGTGATGGTCAGTGTATTGTCCACATCGCAAGTCGCATATCAACTGGAATGTTGGAATGCGGGGGATAAGGATTGACTCACGGGTAGGGGTTCCCCAGACGGTGATGACCTCGGTGGTGCAGCCGCAAGACTCCTCGGGCTCAGCCTGAACGGCACGACGCTGGTGGAAAGAGTCGTGACCGTGACGACGCATGTGAGCGCCGCCATCAGCCAGCGCGGTACCGGCGAGGGCAGCCGCAGTGGCAAGGAAAGCACCCTTCATCTTGACGGTAAGGGTGAAATCAATGAGGGGGGTTCGGGAACAAATTCAATCGCAATGAATGCCCGCTAAAAGAGTGAAGCGGTGGTCAAGTTTGCAGAGTGAGAAGAGAACGCGGGAGAGGGAGGGAGGGAGGGAGGGAGAAAAGGGCACGCCGGCCTCTTTTTGATATCTTTCTCTGGGAGGGAGAAAGAGACAAACGATCTGCAAAACAAACCCGAGAGGGAAAACAAAAAAGAGGGGAAGGAGAGAGGGAAAAAGAAGAAGAAGAAGAAGAAGAAGGAAAGGGAAAAGAGGCAAGTCTGGCCCAGCAGGGAAAAAGCCCCCAAGCAAACAAAAGGGGGCGGGAGTGGATGGATGGATGCCAGGCACCCACTGGCCGCTATTGGACTGGATGTCCGCACGGCTCGGATAGCCTGGTGGAGTCGAGTCTAGTATTAGTTTGCACGTCGTCCATTCTCTTCTTGGGGGTTTCAGAATATCTTTTGTTCCATTCCCTCGATGCGGTGACGGTGACCGTTAGCTGCAATCCTGACATTCAGGGTCTGGCTACTATTTTCTGGGTCGATGGGCCATCGATGAGTGGAAGAGGAGTCAAACGACGTGTCTACTGTCTACTGAGTTGTTCGACACAGAAACTGACCCCGGACATGGATGATTTGGATTAAGATTTTCCGATGGTGGAAGGAAAACTCTATTGCCAGACGGGGGGCTCCTACGTAGGCACCCCTCTATCACATCTGTCTCCTGATGACAGGGAACAATCCATCATTGAGACGTGTAGTTATTCCGTATTCCTGTATGTACAGCATAAGAAATTTAATTAGTGTACAACAATAATCAAAGCAGTCACAACCATCTAACAGAGTGGCAACCACACAACATCCAAGTGAAATGAGATTCAGCAACAGAGGCTGCTTTGTGCAGCTGCAAGGAACACTGGAAAAGTCAGGAATCCACCCCGCCTGCAGGAGGTGTTGTGGCTTTGCCCGATCAGGTACAGTGGCTGCCTCCACTGTCTGACTTTGCGGGAGATCATTGGATGAAGGCGAGCACCTTAATTTCCGGGGACCCACCGCAACCCGGATTAGCGACCAAAGGGCAACACAGCCAGAAATGAGCAAAAGTCGGGCGCAATAATGGATGGCCCAGAGACCGACCCATGGTTGGACTCAGCCTCTGCACGGTTAATAGGAGAGCGTTATTTCAGGTACGGGGTCTGAAAGGCTGGATGAAACAAGCAGATACGCAGAGAGGCAAAAGCAGTGCAGTCAGAAGGCTGAAGGCTGAAGGCTGAAGGCTGAAGCAGAAAGAGGCGAATTCATAAGAATAGAAACAGCCCCCGGGTAACTTTTCTGTCTGTCTGACAGCCACCGTTCGGCTACTATCCGGTTACTATCCGGTTACCATTCCATTGCCATTGCCATTGCCATTGCTATTGCCCCTGGAAATTACTGTCGGTTTACTGAGATCTATCCATAGTAATAATATGATCAAAATATCCAACATTACTGTACTGAGTTTATCACCCGGCGCAAGGTTCACTCCCTCCGCATCATCTCCTAGTCAATAATTGTCAATAAATCCATGGATTCACTTAGCTAACTATCTATCTTATACTCGCTGATCCATCTGGAATCACCTTGACTTTCACTCTCACCGTCCTAGCAACCCACGCCGATCAGATCAATTCATTTCATTCGAGTATTCCTAGTGAAGTGTTTCTCTGTGGAGATGTCTCTCACTGGCACTCCAGCAATGCCGAGAACCGAAACGAGGCCTGGCCTTCTTGGCTTCACCTCGACACTCACAGCAACTCTCTGTCTTAAATTTCCCACACGAGTCAGGGTCTGTCAGTGGCGGCCAAAGTCAACCCAACCCCTCGTGCTCACGCCTCAGACCCCTGACCACTCTGCCCATCACTTCGACTTACCCCATATCAGATCAGATCAGATCCAGGATCCCTCGACTACATACGTACTACATAAGTACGATACGAGCAGCCAAACTATTGACTATTGAAACAACTCTTGAAAATATGTAAAAAACACACCGAACTATTCACAAATACCATTAACCCTACAAAATAGAAATTGATCATCGTCCGCCCGGTCTCGACCGGTCAGTGCAGAGTCTCCACTGCGGACCGATTTGCCCCTGACCAGGCTTGGCTTGAGCCTATCTGAGAGAGAGAGAGAGAGAGAGAGAGAGAGAGCGAAGTCGTTGAGTGCGCTGATTTGGGAAAGCTGAGCTGAAATTTAGAGAATGTGTGTGTGTTGTCTTGGATGAATTTGGGCTAATTTTCAATAGTCGCGTTGGGGTGTGAGACATGATGGTGTAGTAGCTGTTGACCCCTGAATTTGGGGGTGAGACCCTGATGCTATTACTACGAGGGTATATAGCTGGGGCGATGACTCGTATTATTGTAGTGCTGACTGACGGGTTCTGGAAGATTCGGATATTGCCGATGCTCGCTTATGAGTAGAGGATGATGTGTTGAGTGAGTGGTTGTGTAGCTAGGAGATACCCTAAGTAGAGGACGGAGGTGTAGTGGGTGTTGAGCTGGGCTGACCGATCCGAGGAATGTGTCAGTTTGACGCCCACCCACACACATAGAATCCCACTGACATAACTGACAGGACATTTATAATTCCTCAGCAATTATGTCAATGGTATCCCCTACATGAGTCCTCCGTACCCTGTACCTCAACTCATGGTTGAGAAACCACATGGCTGAAGCCGACCGACCGGTCGCAAGTTACACAGTCCCATCCATCACACAGCTTCCTCCTCAGAATAAAACCCAACCAACCAACGCAGTACAAAAAACAGTGAACCCCAAGCCTTTATATATATCCCTAAATACTTATAACTTACCCCTCAACAACCAATCCCACCTACTTACTGACGTAGTCCCCAAAATTAACCACATCGTACCACCCACTACACTACACTGCACTGCACTGCGCCACATCTCACCACACCCATCGGAGTACATCATACAACACTAAGTATACACCGGGATCATGCCACCACCCCAACCACTACACAACCCAACCACAACCACATTTTCATCCTTCGAGGAAAGAATTCTACAAATTGAGCATATCTTATTGGCCATCCATATCTACGGTATACCATCGCTCGGATCATCCGAGTCCCATGCACTGCACACGTGATGCCTTCTACCCCGGATACAACCACCCCGAGGGGGAGGTGACAGAGGTGAGGTGATTCGGATGAAGAGATGCCTGACTTATTGTAGGGGAGTATGGTGCGATGTGATTCTGTTTCTTTGTTAGGGCGGTAGTTGGGTTCCGATTGATGCCGTATACTACTTACTGCCACTGCTGTAGGGCTTGGGATGTGGTGAGGTGTGTGTAAGTATATATAGTAGATACAGCCAGATGAAGCTTTCAATTGAATCACAACAATACTACATACTACATTGATAAAGTCTACAAGGACACAGAAGACTCACTACATTTATCAAACAAACACACCTCAACAATCTACATTATACACCATGAAATCTACATCATCCTCCGCCCGCCTCCAAAACGACTTTGGAGCTGATCTATGGGTGAAGAATCGTCCTAAGCATGTGCGTTTACCTATCTATCCCTATCCCCATCTTCATATATTCCTATATCCTATCACCCTTTTACTACACACATATACTAACAAATAATAATAATACAGCACCCCACAGCAGGCCGCGGCCTCTTCGCCGGCCTCCAAGATACCAAGAACTACAATGTGGAATCAGGCTGGGCGAAGCGCAGTAATGCGGAAAGTCAGGGGTTTCTGGGGGGTTTGTTGAGTCGGTATGCATCCATCCCACCTTTAGGTTATTTGGTTGTTGATTCGTGAGTGTGGTTGCTAATGAATTGTTGTGTTGGGGGTAGGTTTATTGGGGGGTCTTATAAGCCTCCTACTGAGTAGGGTACCTACTGAGTAGAGGGTATTGATGGATATGATGGGGTATGGGGTATGGGTTATGGTTATGATGGGTTGGTTTGTGTTTGGTGTTTGGGTTTATTAGCGTTAGATTGATTATATTTGAGTTGATGAAGTGTTCTGTTTATGATATATTCAGTATACTACTATGCATGTGCACTATTCATGTATCTGATGGAGTAGTTCAACGAACTCTTACAGTAGACTGACTAGATACATACTAATACTGCCTATTTCAATACTACTAGTTATAAACATAGAATAAAGTCAAAAAGCAGCACATATCAATTAACTACCACCGTAACATCCCACCCCTACCTACCCCCCAAACCATCATAACTATACTATACTACATCTCCATCTACATACATCACATCGCAGACTTAAGCAAAGCCCCCCCATCACTCCCCACCCATTCCCCACTCACAAACCCATCCTTCATACACCAAACATACGCCTCCGCCACATCCCCCGCATCGGCAACCCTCCCCAACACCGTCCCCCTCCTAAACATCTCTTTAACCGCCTCCCTCTCCTGCACCCCCAACTCATCAAAAATCTCCGTCTCTACCGCCCCCGGCGCCACCACATTTGCCCGTATGGGCGCCAACTCCACCGCCAACCCCCTCACCAACCCGCCCAGGGCACTCTCCGCCATCGCACCCAACGTCGTCCCCGGTACGGGCTTCGACGCCAATACCCCGGAGGTAAACGTCAACGACGAGGTATGTTCATCCACCATGTAGGACTTTGCATGCTTGCCCAGCATGAGGGGCGCCAGGACGCGGAGCGTTTCGCTTTGCGTGTAGAGTTGTGGGGTGAGGGTTGTGGTACCGGGGGAGATGGGGATGCGGGAGGGGCGGGTGCCGGAGGTGTAGATTATGTGGTTTAGGAGTACCTTTTCATTGTTTCCTTGGGGGGCTGTGGTTGTGGTAGTGGGGAATATGGAAGGCGATGTAGCGTAGTCCAGCAGTGACATGATGGTTGTCTCTAGGGTAGATTGATCACTGAGATCATATGCCTTCCCGGTAATGCGCGAGGTGAATGATGGGTCCGGATAGAGTTGTTGGAGACGGGATATGGCCGACTGGACTTTTTCTGGCCTGGAGCTGGACAGGATGATGTTGGCGCCGTGTTCGAGGGCGGCGCGGGCGACGGCGAAGCCGATGCCCGAGGTGCCTCCGATGAGGAGGACGCGGGTGTTGGTGAGTTTGTTGATGGAGATGAAGTTCATTGTTGGAGTTGGGGTGGTCATTGTGGGTGGATAGATGTGTTGTAAATGTTCTGGGTTGCTTGCTTGAGGGTACTTGGTTAGTTGGTTAGTGATCATGTAGGATAGCAAGGGTGTGCTCTGGGTGTGCTCTGCTTATATAGTAGTGATACTGTTATATAGTATGGGCACTGGAAGAGTAGTATATGTTGTGGTATAGAACCATCCATGGTTCTGGTTATGTCCGCTAAGTCCGATATGGGGTTAAGGTTAGGTTCGGGCGGAGATAAGGCTGTCGGAGATTATTGCTGCATTATTAATGTGTATGATGGTGTGCTTGCTATTCAGCTTGCTGGGGGAGGGTGTATGGTCTGACAGGGCCACGTGGATGCTGCAAGGGTATGCTGGTGCGATGGTGTGCTAGTAGTTACTTAGGGTGAAGAGTACTATCGACATATAGTTCTGTCTTCGAAGACAGCTACTACCTGATAACCAGTGCAATATGGAGGACTCACTACTTACTCTATACTAGTAATAGCCTTGAGTCAGTTTGGACATCCAGACCGTCAAGTTATTCTCGGTCCTAAGGCAGCATCCCCTCAGTACGAGGAAGGTATTGGAGGGGAGTATAGAAGAAGTCGGATATTTCATGTATGCAGTTGCAAATGTAGTGGCTGATATGTTGACCCTATATTATAGTTGCAACATCTCTTGTTTTCTGGAACAGCTGGTAGTCATTCGTAGCATGATAATATGACAAGCATACTCATAGCCTTGAGTGGGATTATATGGATGGTGAAATACGTGGACACTGCCTGGAATTGTCTTTGATCATGATATACTTAGGTGAGGCTAGTAGTCTTGATAGTGCTTTTTGCTCTGCAGTCAAGGCATATCTGATTAGCATAAATAAAGACCATCCTGTATCTCAGGAATAATATGGTATAGGGCAGTTGGCTATCTCAAATATAGTGTATGACTGGCTATGCTCTCAGTGATGTCGACAGTATTCAAATGTACCCATGTTGCAGGTAAATGGGACATCGGTATTGAATATACGGGCCACTTGCTTTGAATATCACTTATTATTCAGCTAATTCAGCTATCGAATAACTGTAAATATTTTGAAAACTGTACACTCTACTCCAAGCCAGCAGAAATAGATACCGTAGTATGGTAAAAAAACACCCCTCTGTACATAACTCATATCTCTACTCTCCTGTCTACTCCCAGCTGTCAATCTTCATCGTGCCCTTCTCCTGCAAGTTCTGGTGCATCTTGAACGCCTGGAACAGCAGGTGAGGCTCATGGCCCATACCCTTCTTCAGACACTCAAACTCAGCCCGGTCCATGTAGTCCTGCAGGATGGGCTTGTAGTCGGGGTGAGAGCACTTGTCGATGATCACCCGGGCACGCTCACGAGGAGCAAGACCACGCACGTCGGCCAGACCCTATGCTTGTTAGCGAAGAATTAAATTTGCTGGGGGGAGAATCCTACCTGCTCAGTCACAACCACGTCCAGATCGTGCTCGGTCTGGTCAACGTGGGTACACATGGGAACAATGCAGCTGACACCGGTGGGGTCGACCTTGCTGGGCCGGGTACTAGGAGTGTGCATGATACTGTACTTGGAGCTGCGCAGGAAGTCGGCCGATCCACCCAGTCCGTTAAGCATGCGAGAGCCCATGACACAGGTGCTGTTGGCGTGGGCATAGATATCAACCTCGACCGGAGTGTTCATACCGATGCAGCCCAGGCGACGGATGATCTCGGGCGAGTTGGACACCTGCTGCGGGCGCAGGAGCAGCTTACCGGCGTAGCGCTCCCAGTTGTCGTAGAAGCGCTTGAAGCCCTCAGGGGAGAAGCGGATGGAGGTGGCCGTGGCAAAGTCCAGGTTGCCACTGTCAAACAGGTCCAGGAAGGAATCTTGGAGCACCTCCGTCCACACCTTGAGGTTGGTGAAGTCGGCACCACCCTTGCTCAGACCGCCAATGACCGCGTTGGCAATGTTTCCAATGCCGGACTGGATGGGCAGCAGGTTCTCAGGCAGACGGCCGTGCTTGACCTCGTGCTTCAGGAACTCGATCAGGTTGGTGGCAATGGCCTGGGAGCCCTCATCCTCGGGGGCGTTAGGCTGAGTCTGATCGGGGTAGTCAGACTCCACAATGGCCACGACCTTCTCAGGGTCGACCGGGATGTGAGGAGTACCGATACGGTCCTCAGGCTGCATGATCAGGTAGGGCTTGCGCATGGGCGGCTTATCCGACATGACGATATCATGCAGACCCTCGAACGACGGGCTAGCCGTGTTGACTTCAATGATGATCTTATCGGCCATCTGGATCAGTTCCGGAGAGGCACCGACGGAAGCACCGGGGATGATGCCACCGTCCTCCGTAATAGCGGATGCCTCAATAACCGCGACATCCAAGCGGTTCTTGGGCTTGTTCATTGTGTACCAACCCTACCAACACCATTAGTCGCTATCCACAGAAGCATCCCAGCAGCATCCGATGAAAACTTACATAAACCAAATCCGACGGAAACATGCTCAGATGCTTGTCGAAAAAGTTGATCTGACCATTGTTGATACCCTTGGCAATCTCCTTGCCGACCTGGTGAGGACTCCGACGGTCGATCATGTTCAATGAAGCCCAGCGGTTTTCTGTTTCCGCGCCGGAAGAGGCGCCGACGAACAGGGTGTACTTTAGCTTTCCCTCCAACTTGTTCTTCTCAACGTGGTCGGCCAGCGCCGTGGGAACTTTCCTGAAAACCGGGAACAATCTGGATTAGCCTCTGTGGCTGCCACGCGGGGACAACGGGCGCAACCTACTTGGGATAACCCACTCCCGTGAATCCGGACCAGCCGATATACGATCCATTGGGGAAGAGGTCGATGAGATCTTCAGCCTTGGCCAACCGGTTGAGATAGGAAGGCCGGCGAACACGGCTTCTTAAGAGGGCAGAAGCAGACATTGTGAGGGAGGGAGGGAGATGATGAGGAGGAGGGAAGGACTAGTTGTCGTCCAGGAGAGATAGAGAGGGAGAGAGAGAGGGAGAGGTGAAGAGATGAGGAGTGGAGAGGAGAGAAAGAGAAATGAAAGGAAGGTTAAGAGAGAGAGAAAAAAAGAACTGGGGAAAGAAGAGCAAGACGAAAGCAGACGAGGGTGACGGTGAGGTAGAAATACGGTACGGAACCCCCGCCACGTTCCACTACCCCGGTCTAGACGAAGGCAAGGAGCAGCGCGTCTTCGGGGATAAGGAGCGACTACTATATGGATCCCGGCATGGACTATGGGGGATCGCTGGGGATAGCCGGATGCTGAGTGGCTGTCGATCGACCAGTGCTGCAGGAAGGGCATGCAGGAGGGTGTATATTACTCCGATGCTCAAGGTCGGAGCAGTCTAGACAGCCTGCATCCAGCTGGATGTATTTAAGGTCTTGCCAGCTGCTGGACCACCTCCCTCTGGGGCAGGGAGGGTCAATGGTGCTGGAACTGAGTCGCAGACTCTTGTACAGTGCAATGAATGGGTCTGACAGTGTCTTGTCTCAGTGAAAGGTGGGTTTCTACTGATTCTTTTCCCTCTTGGTGTCTGCATCTTCAAGGGTTCCCTTTCCATTCATGCTGACGTCACGCCGGCAAACTCTCGGCCAAACATAGTTCTGCCTCGTCCAGCGTTGCCTCTCCCACGTCACCTTGAA